AAAATTAAATGGAAAATCTGAGATAGAGGATCGATAGTTTGGCATTTCGACTTTTCAGTGGACATTTCTCGAAGTCTAAAATACCTACAGGGTTGGCTCATTGTAAAGCTTGTTCAATGCTCTAACACTATTGCCATAGTAGCAAAACCATCCGATCCTTAGTTTTCGAAATACAGTGAAATAAACAAAAAAAAGCTCTGTTTTTGCACTAAATATTGTTTATAAAATCCCCTAAAAGTAATTAGATGTTGCATTTTTGGTTTTTAGCATCTATAAATGATCCTTAACAATATTGCATCGATAGTTTGCTGTTAAATTTTATGTTAAAATATGGCTGTTATTTCGCTAAGTGACTTGGCCTATACAGTTAACTGCTGGTGTGTTAAATCACATTACACAAATGACTCCAATTTTTATAATTAAAAAACAAAATTTAAATGTCTCGAATGATGTTGAATTAGCAAACCCTAATTTTGGAGACCCTCAAAGATTGACATTTTGCTAGGCGCTGATGTCTACTATTCAATATTGTCTGAATATTCCCTCACACTAGTTGGTTCTGTACATAAGCAGCATCACTGTAATGCACGAAATGGTAATTATTTACTGGCGTCTAATATGTACTCGGAATACCCTGTAGACTCAATGCTTGAAAAATTTTGGTCTTTGGAAGAAATTCCAAACCTCCAAGGAAAGTTATTATCCCCTGAAGACGCTTTTGTTGAACATCTCTTTAGTAAAACCACTCGCATTCTCGAGAATAGTTATTTTCAAGTAGACCTGCCCTTGAAGGTTCCAAGGGAATGGTGAATCTTTTTACTGAGCTAAAAAAAGGTTTTTGCACTTAGAAACTCGCTTTGCAAAGAATCCTGAACTTTTTAAAGAATATACGCGTTTTATCGATGAGTATATCTTCTTGAATCATGTACAGGTATTCCCTTTGTCGCTAACAAATTCTGGTGAATTTAAGTATTTTTTGCCGCATCATTGTGTGGTAAAAAATGAAAGTAAGAGTACCAAATTAAGAGTCGTGTTCGATGGTTCTATGAAATCCACCTCTGGTTTTTCATTAAATGATGTGTTATATTTCGTTTTAAATTTGTCTTCACGGTAGACGTCGAAAAGATGTACCGACAGATTCGAATCAACCCACACCCACACTCATTGCCAAAACCTTTTATGGAGAAATAGCCCTTTGAATGAGCTTCAAAATATTGAATTGTTGACAGTTACTTATGGGACTAATTGTGCACCCTACTTGGCCACAAGAACTTTGAATGAGTTAGCAGTTTCACATAAAGATAAATATCCTTTAGCTTCTGAAGCTATTCTTACTCAATGCTATGTTGATGATGCTCTATGCGTTCAGGATTCTATTGATAATCTCTACAAGCTGTATGATCAGCTAATGAATTTGCGTGAAGTAGCTAATCTCAAATTACGAAAATGGTGTTCTTATTCTAATGGTTTTTTGGAAAAAAGTGAAGAACTTTTAGTCTGAGTCTTAAAATAACTATGACATAAAGATAGATGGAATATCTAGGAAAGTTTTAGGAATAGTGTGGAAGCCTGATTCAGATATTTTTTCAATTTCAGTTCCCGATTTGGCAACTCTCTCATCTACTACTAAAAGACTGGTTCTATTGAAGATTTCACAAATGTTCGACCCCCTTGGTTTCATTGGTCCCATTATAGTTATTGCAAAACTTGTTATGCAAGAAATTTGGAAATCAAAAATAAATTGGGACGAATTACTTGACGAGCAAACTCAAAATCTATGGAATAATTTGTCATCCAACCTTTCTTTCCTTAAATCTCTTGAAGTCCCTAGGTACTTGCTAACCTCTCCAAAATTCACCTCTATTGAGCTTCATGGTTTCTCAGACGCAAGTCGCAAAGCATACAGCGCTTGTTTATATCTGAGAGCGCATTATCCTGATGGTTTTGTGAGATGTAACTGGATTGTAGCTAAAAGTAGAGTGGCCCCTATTAAAGAAATCACTATCCCAAGATTGGAATTGTGTGGGGCACTTTTGCTTTCTAACTTGGTGGATAGAGTCATTGGTTTATTTAATACTAGGCTGCAGCTTGCTGACATATATCTCTGGACTGTTTCTGAAATTGTTCTGGCTTGGTTAAGTTCTCACCCAACAAGATATTGTGCTTTCATAGCGGATAGAATTTCTCAAATCCAATCCCTTACTGGTACTCATAAATGGTTGCATATCTCATCGAAGGAAAATCCTGCTGACTGTCTCTCTCGAGGTCTGTTACCACAGGATCTCATTAATTCATCAATATGGTGGCATAGTCTTGCATTTTGTTCTAACCCAACAGTTGATTTTGAATCATTACATTTTATTCCGAAAATGACCAACAAAGAAGAAAGAAGAGTCAACACTGTAATGCTGCAAAAGATTTTCTAAGTTCTTAAGACTTCAACGCGCTGTGACATTTATGTTTCGGTTTGTCAATAATGCAAAAGATCATTCCAACAAATTATCAGATTTTCTCTCTGTCGCAGAATTGGAAAATGCTGAAAATTTCATTTTTGAGCTTATTCAATCTAAACACTTCCCCAACGAAATCTCTGAGTTGAAATTGAATAAAGTGATTTCCAACAAGCAACTTTTGAAACTTTCTTAGACTTAGCCTTATTAAAGTTGGTGGTGGATTTTCTCAAGCCCCAACTCCATATGAACAGAAATATCCGATATTATTGCCATCCCACAATTATGTTGTCAAACTCCTATTTGAAAAGGAACATATTCAATTGGGACATGCTGGTCCTCAAACAGTACTCTCTAACATTCGACTAAGGTATTGGCCTCTTAATGGTTTAAAAGAAATCAAACATATCTCATTGAAGTGGTTCCGTTGTGGAAAATTTAAAGTCCACGCTTTTCAGCAAATGATGACAGACCTTCCAACTAATTCCTGCTAAACAATTTTCCAAAACAGGTATAGATTTTGCTGGCCATATTTTTGTCAAATCTTCTTCTTTAAGAAGAGCTCGTGTTGAAAAAGCATATATTTCAGTGTTTGTATGCATGGTGACAAAAGCTGTCCACCTTGAGTTGGTTTCCAATTTGTCAACTGCTGCCTTCTTGGCTGGTTTGAAAAGATTTATTTCTAGGCATAGGAGCCCATCTGTAATTTTCACTGACAATGGTACCAACTTTTAAGGGGCTTGCAACCAGATTATGGAACCATATTCCTTTTTTAAAGAAAAGGACAACCAAAACCACATTGAAAATTTTAGCGGTAAAAACAAAACACAATGGAAATTTATTCGCCCTCACTCTTCCTATTGGGGCGACCTATGGGAAGCTGCAGTCAAGAGTACCAAATATCACCTAAGAAGATTAGTTGCAGATCAAAATTTCACCTTTGAGGAGATTACTACTATATTGTGCCAAGTGGAAGCCATTCTCAACTCGAAACCATTACCACCCATTTCATCAGACCCCTCTGATCTCACCTGCAACACCTAGCCATTTTCTTATAGGCACCTCTCTACACCCATTAAATGGGTGTAGAAGCAAGGACAACTTTAGCTTCTTCTACACTTAGCAAGCTGCTTCAGGTCAGTGAGGGACTGACTCCATCGTCATTCGGAAAGTGATGCGGCATCTACATTTATGCTTTTACACCCTCGCGTAATGCTATGTTGGATGCACGCATGTATAGCGAAGACTTCTGCTTAAATATACCGTAGTGATTCCATTCCCCAGTGATATGTTGATATTAATCTTTGGGCATTTCCCATATTTACCTGCCCATAACCCGTCCATCAAGCAACAGAAGGAGCGTTTTCTAATCCCGCATTAGGGTCGCACTCAATACCATATGGCCTTTCAAAGATGTAGGTCGGCGTCACGTGATCCGATCTCATTTCCAATAGTTCGTTATCTATGACATGTCTCACAATTGTGTGCCCGTATTTATTTCCAGAGTCCTGCCGTTTTCATTCTGTAGGCCGTGATGTTCAAGGAAGATATCTCAGAGCTCTAGCCCCATAATTATTTCCAAAGCCATAGTACCATTTAAAAAGATTTATTTAAACTGAAACCTAGAAATTTGCATAAATTCCCACACCCACTAAACAATTAATTTTAAATGCACATGTATGCATTCGAAGCCCCAGATTTAGCTCGTAAAAATGCCATTAAACATGACTGTCAGGCCGTTTAAGTGCATACATTTTAGAACTAAACTTGTAAACCCGGAGTATTTAATGTCAGTTCTAGGGTAAGGGGGTGAGTTTACGATACTTTGGCCTTCGGGCGCAAGTTTGCCGGATTTATGGCGTTCCACACAATATTCGAGGCAGTTTATAGGAGCTGTGATAACCTTTGTTGTTCAGGAACTTAAGCAACAGAGTAGGTTGACATTGATAAATAAAAGCATTTCAGAGGTGCTAAAATTAAAATGCGTGGGTAGCAAAGCCCTTTTTTTCAAACTCACCCGAGCATTATATTAGATTAATCGGATTCTCACCAAAGCGTAATCTCAAAGCCAGAGAGCTAACTTTACTTTAATCTTGAATCTAGCGGAGCGTTTGTTTTTCCATCGATGCATTAAATCGATGTTTAACAGATTTATCGGGATGAAAAGCGAAAGAGAGTCTAACGTTGTATGAATTTTCGGCACTGACGCTTTTAAATTGTATTTTTTTTTATTTCAAATTTAGATAAAATATTCCGAACGCTTGCCTCTTATTTATGCCGACCAAATTACTTCTACAACTCTTCAAAGAACCTCAACTTTAAATTAGTTTAAGAAAACTTTTATTACTGGATGGTTTCGAGATTTAATATTTTATCCAAAGCTAATCGAAGTACAAACCCGACTCATCCTGAAAATGATTCCTCATTAGAAACTTTATATCTACATCCAAAATTGAACAAATAATTGAAAAATAAAATAAAATATGCAGCTTTGGATAAGTTATTTACCTAACAAGCTTTTTGATAAAAATAAATACCAACAAAATAACTTTAACACATTTCATACAGAAAATCCTCTCCAGAATCTTCTGTTTTAGCTTGGCATTCATCAGGGATTTTGCGTCGTTGTTCAGATTCCGAGAATACAGCAATACCAGCTTCAGAAAAAGTATTGGGATGAGACATCATGTCATCATATTTTTCTTTAAGATTTTCTTCAATTTGACTAACATTGACGAGGTCATCAGTTTCAAGATTTTCCATTTCATCATTAATGTAATTGTCTTCTGTTTTTATTTCGCATTCATCATATTTTTCTTCATGATCTTCTTCAATTTGAGTAACATTGACGAGGTCAACAGTCCCAACGTTTTCCATTTCATCAGTAATGTAATTGTCTTTTGTTTTGGTTTTGCATTCCTCAGGGATTTTATGTTGTTTTTCAGTTCTCGGGCATACACCAATACCAGCCTCAGAAAAAGTATTTGGATGAGACATCATGTCATCATATTTTTCTTCTTGATCCTCAATTTGGCTAACTTCAAGGACTTCAACAGGGTAAACATTCTCCTTATCATCTAAGGTCACTTGTGCTCCAGGTCTTGGGCATACATTATTGTCTTCGATCTCTTGATTCAAATGTGGCTCTAAATTTTTGTATTCTTCGTTTTTAGATTCAGTTAAATAGGAAACATTGAATGCATCTACAGCATCTTCTTTTTTTGGTTTTTGGTCGTCTCCTTTATGATCAAGACTTGGAGGGACAATACAGAAATTTTGGTTCGAATCTGAATGAGACATTTTGAAATTTTCAACGTTTGATTTTTGAAAACGTCACTGTCTGTACTTGACGCAACATTTCTGCCATTTCTGCCAGACAAGATGGTGTCAATGGCTACGTTCACCAGAACCGAAACGGATTGTAAACAGTTTACAAATACCAACAGAATACGTTGGGTAAACTCTTGGTTCTGCTGAACGATTCAACTTTTCAATGATAGAACGTCATCCTCTGAATGACAGGTCACCTCACAAAACACAGTGTTGAAAATTAAAAACACTCTCAAATTATGCTTGCAAAAATGGCGACCGTTTGCAAAACATGTTTGGTTTCAACATAAATTCAACGTAGCCTTCAGAGAACAATCGCAAACCGTTTACCAACGTTTGTATCTGATGAACGCGGCCATTGGCTTCGTTCACCAGAACCAAAACAGCACAGAACCATGACGGGTTGTACGCTCTATCTGCTCGACAAATCAGGAAGGCTAGGAGCTGCCATTTAAGAGCTTATCTATGGGATAAGTGAACGCCGATTTACAGCTGAAATCTGCTTGAAGCAAGACAAACAGTAGAAATGAACACCGAGTGTTTATAATTTTCAACACGTTGTGTTTTGTGTGGTGACATGACATTCATAGGGTGACATTTTATCATTGGCCGTGTTCGTTATTGTTATCTTTTTAGTCGATTTGCTCCGAAATTTTGACAGGCACGTGACTGGATCACACAGATTCAATTCACAAATCACGTGCCTGTCAAAATTTCGGAGAAAATCGATGAAAAAGATGACAAAAACAAACAAGGCTTATAGAAAAGTTGAATGGTTCAGCAGAACCAAGAGTTTACCCAACGTATTCTGTTGGTATTTGTAAACTGCTTCACCTGTATCATGTGAATAAAGATTACAACATTGCAAGGAGTAGATAGAGTATCAAGCTGGGGCCGGATTCTTGTCTCAAGGAGAGAGCTCCCAGATAGAACGAATGTTTTGTCCTTGTCAACGTAATCGAAAAGTGAATGAGAATTTCCATTATGTGGTATCGTCCCTGCTTTACGCAACAGTGAAAAGGAGTAGCGGGAATAGGACAGCAAAAAAAAAGACGTTGTTATTTATTCAGCGACGTTTCGACCATATATTTTGGTCTTCTTCAGGCTGAATATATGGTTTACATGAGAAATTGGTAATAAAATTAGGGAATTCAAAAGGAGAATTGAAAGATTTAAAAAAAATGATTATGTACCCAAAACTCTAAGTAAATTTAAACTATTAAGCATTTTAAATTGGATAATAAATTAAATCATTAAAATATTGAGAAAAAATATTAAACTAATATCTGTGGACATTTAAAAATTTCGAGAAGAAAAAAAATAAAATTAACAAACAAACAAGGAAAATAACGTAAGCAAAAACGACATAAATATTAAAATTATAGGGAGTCAACATACCTTCCAAATATAATTGCTAAGAATTCCAAATACATATAGGGCACATAAAACAAGAAGCTGGACATTACAGTTAAAATCAGTCAAAATTTAAAATTGAAATAAAAAATCTAAGCAAGTCGTTTAAACACGCCAGCAGCAGAACGAAGGCTTCTCTGTTAATAATTACGATAGGAAATAGAATCGCTGATTTTAATATGTTAGTTAATATGCTAAAGAACTTGTCTCTTTGCCCTATTTGATAGGTTGCTATAAATATTGCTAAGGTTCGCAACGTCAGTTCTTAGATTAATATTATCGGTAATCTGTATGTATATCATCTCACTTATGCAACGCTTCACATAACCTGTCTCCTTGTCAAGAATTTTTATATATCATTAAAATTAAAGGTATGGTTCGTAAGAAAATGATGTTGTGCCAAAGCAGTTTTTTTCAGCCTTCGTCCTGTATTTCTCTTGGCAGTCATATTGGTGTTGTGTAAGTCTATTGCCCAATTTTTGTTTTGTTCGACCTATGTACTGTTTACCGCAAGTAGGTACACGGTACTGAGTAAATAACATTAGACTGGTCGAAAATTGGTGTTTTGTCTTTGAGTCTAGAGAACAATGTTGACGCTGTTTTTATGTTATAGAATGCCAAAGCGAATTCATCACTCTGAAACATTTTTTTTTAGCTCATGGGATAAGTCAGGAACAAACGGTAGTTTTGAAAAAAAAAATCCCGGTTAGGTGGTCTTGTGTGGATGTGAATCACTTGAAAGGCTATGGCGTTTCCGAAGAAAGCTATTGATGGACTGGTTGATGAAGAACTTGGGGTAATTGTTTTGATGTAAAAGGAAGGATATACTTTTCAAATTTTCAGACTGGAAAGAATCGTGACTAAGTTCAATGGCTCTATGTCAGAGGTTGTGGATAGTATTAAGCTTGTGTTGGGTAGTGTTATTAGATTTAAAATTCAACAATCTCCCTGAACTTGTTGGTTTCCTATACCAGTTTGGCTTCAATGATCTATCACATTCCCTATGTACCATAACGTCTAAAAAGGGTATCTTATTATCTGATTCCACCTCGATTGTGAACTTCAACTTTGAATTGTAGGCGTTGTAGTATTGTAGTATGTAGTCTGTTTTGTTTTCTGGGATAGCCAAAATTTGTTACAGGATTTGTCACACATAAATCTCCCTGTTAAAAATAATTATTAATGTTCCTTAAAATAGGTAAATAAATTTTGTGACAGAGATTCTTTCTTCACATTTGCCCAGACTATTGCGAGTCCAGAACTACTATAAACCAGAAGGCCACCAACGGAATATTACTGTACTGGAGTACTTTCTTATAGGGCAGCTAGCTAGCTCTTCAGTAGAGTGATCGTGGATAAAAATATAAAACACCACCTGTTCTAGCCCTTCAGAAAGAAAGTATCCGCTCTTAAATCAAAACAGGAAACAGTAATATTTTTAGCTTGAAGATGACCAAAATATATGGTCGAAACCTCGCTGAATAAATAACGTCTTTTTTTTGCTGTCCTATTCTCGCTACTCCTTTTCACTGTAAATGAGAATAATAAAAACGAAATACTGAAAGTAGGAAAAGAGGCTCTCCTATCAACACTGAAAATAACTATTCAAGCTAGGTCTAAAGAGTGTAGAAATAGCAGAGGTATGGAATGATAACTTTGTATTACACAGTGTGGTTTTAATGTTAATGAAAAGTCGGTTTTCGGCTTATTTGGAATTTATTTAATGAAATATCTAAATCAACAGCCAACGTTTCGACGCATTCCGCATCATTCTCAAGGCTAGATTATTAAAGCTATGAATCGCATCATTCGGACCGATTCATCAATAACAACAAACAAAAAAGTTCACACACCAAAGAGCGGTACTATTGCTTGCCGTGATGTTTCGGTACCGGCTGTTGATTTTGATAACTTTGTAGTTTCACTTTTCGAAAACAAATCTCTGATTATTTGCTTCAGACCAATTAGATTCTCTATGCCCTGTAATTTATATAAGAAACATAAAAAACGGTAAAGAAAATAAAATTTATACCGGCGCCATTTATCAGACACGGAAAGAAAAATAAAACCTAAAAGCTCAGGCACGGAAGATTTAATCGTCCAACATATTTTTCTCTCAGAGATTAGGTAGCTTCTCAAATTTAATTTCTACCCTTAAGCTGGATTTTCCCAATTTGTAAGGGGATGTTGTAAATTTCAGCCATTGATTTTTTGCTGTTGTATATTAATTACAACCATCTATTAAGTGCTTAAAAATGAGTAATTTATCGGAATGAAGTTTTGTCCCAGCATTACTACAAAACGCAACAGGATTCTGTCATCAACATTCTAGAATTGTGTGTTGGCAGTTGCCAGATAGGGCTTGTAGGCATCCAGAAATATAATATATCGACCTAGAAGGAATAGAGACTACTTCAGATTTGGGAGTTGAAGTTAGGAATCGTTACTTTCTGTCTCTTTGGCGTCATAGTAAAGAAAGTCACAATAATACCAATGATTATACCAGTCGTGATTTGTTTGTCAGCTTAGTAATACATGCAGTTTTTGCTTCGTACTCCAGTATAAATTTCCTGAAATATCCAGCCAGGCCCATAAACTGTCTGACTTGTTTAACCGACGTTGGAGTTGGTGCATTTAAAAGTGCCCCTACTTTACGCGGACCTGGTCGTATTCCTTCTGCAGATACTTCCTTTCCCAGGTACTCGAGTTTATCTTGCAAAAAGTGATACTTTTTTAAATTTAAAGAAAATTCAGCCAGTTGTAAAGCTCTAAAAACCAGCCTTAGTGATTCTAAAGCATCTTCGATTGTTTGGGATGGTATAAGGATGTCGTCCAAATAGACTAGTGATACGTTATCCATCAGCTGTCCAAGAGCTTTGTTAATGGATCGCTGGAATACAGCAGGAGCGTTGGCTAACCCAAACGGCATTCGCAAATATTCGAAATGTCTGTCAGGTGTGACGAAAGCTGTTTTTTCAATTGAATCTTCATCAATTGGAATTTGTTGAAATCTTGCAGACATGTCAAGTGACGTGAAAATACGGGCTTTTCCTAAACGGTCCAGTTGATCGTCAATCAGCGGGCGAGAAAATTTGTCTTTAACAGTGTGCGCATTGAGTTCTCTATAGTCTACACACATTCTTTACGGTCCTTCCTTTTTTTTTTACTACAATAATGGGGCTTGCAAATGGGGACTCACTTTCTCGAACAATATTTTTCATCATAAGTTCTTGGACGATTTCACGAACCGCTTGTCTCTCACTAGCTGCTAAACGATATGGGTTACGATTTACAACAAAATCTTCCTAGAGCCTTATTTTCAAAGTTGCATTATTCACCTCAGGAAGAAACTCATCTGTAGGAGTCAGTACTGGAAATTCTGCTAATACAGAGGCGAGTTTTAGGCGATATATTTCTGCGACATTTATTAGTTCTGGAACACTTTCTGGCATAACTCGAAATATTCTTGCGGTTTTGCTGCGGACAACACGCGTACCATTATGATCAGTAATTATAGAAACCTCTGGATCATCGTAGAGATTGCGCCCAATGATAGC